CAGAAGGAAGAAGTAGACTGGCAGCATGGCATCGTGGATCTGATATGTGGGCGAGGAGGAAAGGGGAGAGTGTGGGTGGGGATTAGGGCAAGAGGAGAAGTGTGGGAGGACTGAAATCGCAGGGCAGCAGAAGCAGCTCCCGAGGCAACGGCGTTGAAAGAGACATCAAGAAGGAAGAAGTAGACTGGCGGCATGGCATCGCGGATCTGAATGAGAGCGGGTGGAATGGGGTGGACAAAGAGGGAAGAAAGCGCAGCAGATTTGGAAGAAGGAAAGTGACAAGACAGAAGAGGCAGAAGAGGCTGCAGAGGCAGCTCCAGAAGCAAATCCACGGACTGGCCATGCATGCATGCATGCACCCTAGCCTAGGCGCACTTGAAAGAACGTAGAGCACTCACAGAGCCCACAGCAGCACTCACCGAGTACTCCTTGGGAGCCACAAACTCCACGCTCCCGTGCATCAATTCTGGCCTCTCGTCCGCGTCTCGTCGCCTGCCATCCGGGCCGAGGTTGCACACGTACTCACGGGGAGTCTCGTTGGAGACGCCTGGTGGGGGAGAGAGGGACGAGGAGAGAGGAAGGAAAGGGCTTTGATTCAGTCACTGCATTGGAAAGTGTATCTAATCGCCTGCCATCCGGGCCGAGGTTGCACACGTACTCACGGAGAGTCTCGTTGGACACGCCTGGTGGGAGAGAGGGACGAGGAGGCAGGTTCGACTCATCAGGAAAAGGGAACATCTCTCCTGCTGCCGTTTGGACCGAGATTACACACGTATTCGCGGGGAGTCTCGTTGGACACGCCTGGTGGGAGCGAGGAATAGGTGGAAAGAGGGGGATGAGGATGAGGGGAGGTTGACCCACCTTCCCAACCCCACCTCTCCCTTCTCTCTTCCCACTCTCCCACTCACCGCACAGGTTACAGATGAACTTCCTCCCATGATCCACGAATCGCATGAATGCATTGATGCATGCCTTGCCCTCTCCCTCATCTCTCTCTCTCTCCTCATCCTTGTACCATAACCAGTTCCTCTCTCCCCTCTCACACACCGCACAGGTTACAGATGAACTTCCTCCCATGATCCACGAATAGCATGAACGGGTTGATTGATGTATTCCTTACCCTTCCAATCCTCTCTCTCCTTATCCTTGGCTAGAACTAGTTCAACTCCCTGTTGCTCTCTCTCTCTCCTCCCACTCACCCCATGGGTTGCATATGAACTTCCTCCCATGGTCCACGAATCGCATGAACGGGTTGATGTATGCCTTGCAGTCTTGCTCCCACCCACCTTCCCAACCCCACCCACTCTCCCAACCCCACCCCTCCCTTCTCTCCCTTCACCAATTCACGCACCACAGAGACTGCAGATGAACTTCCTCCCGTGGTCCACGAATCGCATGAACGGGTTGATGGATGACCCTCCCTCTCACCCCCTCCCCCTCCCCAAAAACTCCCCCCCACGCACCACACAGATTGCAGATGAACTTCCTCCCGTGGTCCACGAATCGCATGAACGGGTTGATGTACGCCTTGCAGCGGTGGCACCTGACGGGCCCCATCTCTCCAAAGTCTACCACCTGGAGAGACAGTGACAGAAGGTTTATGGAAGAGGGAGAGAGGAAAGGGTTGATGACAGAAGGTGCGGCAGTGCGTGAATAAATTAATGATTGTTCAGCTTGGCAGGGCATGAAGGGGTTGGTGCATGCCTTGCAGCGTTGATGCATACCAATCAGCCTACCCCACCCACCCACGCTACTCTCACTCACATGCACGGGCGTGTCAGCCGGGTCCTGCAGGGCGAACGGCTGAATCATGATGCTGAGAGGCATGGCGGAGGTGGTGAGGGGTCCACCCATCCACCCAGCCTGCCAGCCTGCCAGCCTGCCAGCCTGGCCGAGGCACCAAGGACCCACACACTTAGCCTACCAGCCCTACCAGCCCCACCTGACCCACACTCCTCTCCTCTCACTCACATGCACGGGCGTGTCGGCCGGGTCCTGCAGGGCGAACGGCTGGATCATGATGCTGAGAGGCATGGCGGAGGTGGTGAGGAGAGAGGCCCACCCAACCCATCCCGCCATAAGGGGGTGAGATGAGGTGAGTATAGCAGCCCTACCAGCCCCACCTGACCCACACTCCTCTCCTCTCACTCACATGCACGGGGGTATCAGCCGGGTCCTGCAGGGCGAACGGCTGGATCATGATGCTGAGAGGCATGGCGGAGGTGGTGAGAAGATCCGCAGAGAGAGGTATCTGGGCAATGTGCGAAGGGAAGAGGGTAAGGGGGAGGGATAGAGGGGAAGGGTCGAGGGGGAAGAGTGTGAGACGATGCTAGTGGTGGTGGTGGTCATGGTGCTGAGAGGCATGGCGGAGGTGGTGAGGAGATCCGCGGAGAGGGGAATCGGGATAGAGGAAGGGTGGCAGGTAAGGGTAGAGCAAGAAAGGAAAGTGTGAGATGGCGACAATGGTCTCACCTACTCACACCTACTCACACTCACTCACACCTGCTCGCTCCTCCCCCTGCTCACGCCTGTCCACCTGCTCACACCTGCTCAAACCTGCTCATACCTGCTCACACCTGCCCACACCTGCTCCCTCACCTGGTTCAAAGACGCTCGGATAAACCGGGGGCTGCAGTTACCCGTGTCGCGGACCACAAACGATGACGTGGCGGCCTGTGATAGGAGCAAGGGCGCGCACGGGCAGGACAGAAAAAGGATTGATTGGAATGTGAAATTGGACGGGCGTGGCATCAGCTTGAAAACCTTTTGCCATGTCGAATTGCAAACCACAATGTGAAATTGGTCGGGTGGGTGTGGACACCACAAGCCTAGCAACAAACCATTCTCCAGCCAGCCACAACAAGCCGTGAAGTGAAGCCATGGACTGCAGGAGCAAGCAGAGAAGCAGCACTCACCGGTGGTAGGTTAGCCGTGCCGTTCACTCGTGTCTCAAACAGAAACGCGTCGGCGGGGGGCGGGGGGCGCGGGATCTGGTTGGGGTCGATCCGAGACCCAGGCGCCGACCCCTGCTGCCCCGCCGCCTGCCCTGTGAAGGGCGCCATGGGCTGCCGCGCGCCCATCCCGGGGGAGGGTGGATGCGCGCCCATACCCGGGGACTGGGGGGGCGCGCCCACGCCTGGGGGCTGGAGCAGGTGAGGGAGGAAGAGGGGTTGGTGGGGGAGGTTAGGGCGCGGACCCCTGCTGCCCCGCCGCCTGGGCTGTGAAGGGCGCCATGGACTGCCGCGCACCCATCCCGGGGGAGGGGGGCGCATGCCCGCCCATGCCCGGGGACTGGGGGGGCGCGCCCACGCCCGGAGGCTGGGGATGGAAGGGGACAGGGGAAAGCGGAAGAGGGAGGAGGGAAGCGGGAGGAAGTGGTGTGAGAGAGGAAAATCAGGGTGCCGACCCCTGCTGCCCCGGCGCCTACCCTGTGAAGGGCGCCATGGGCTGCCGCGCGCGCCCATCCCAGGGGAGGGCAGCTGCATTCCAGGGGACTGGGGGGGCGCGCCCACGCCCAGGGGCTGGGGAGGGGGAGGAAGCAGGGACAAAGGATGAGAAATTGGGGCGACTAGAAACAAATGGGAGAAAGAAATAACCTAACGCGGATTCTTCGCGCGTAGGCCCTCATAACCCAAACGAAAATTCAGTGAATAACTAAACGCGCGTTGGCCCTCACACTGATTAGGGTCTGCATCTGAAAGCGGTATAAAATGCGGATCTTCCCAAATCTCGGAGAACAAACACAAACAACTTATCCGAATCAAATCAAATCAAAGCGAGCGCGCCTGACGATTTGGCAGGGATTGGGAGCAAAGGACGATTTTGAGAAGTCTCAAAGGCAGGGATTGGGAACAAACGACGGTAAGTTTACACGAAAGTGACTTCAACTTTCAAGAGCTGACAGCAGGATTGTGCTTCGGCGCACTTACCGTTCCCGCGGGCATGGGATACGCGCGTCGCTGCGCCGCGCCAGCTGTCGGGGGGGCGCCGAAGGGCGGCGGAGGTCCCGCGCCGGGCATCATGGCTCCGCCAGGCGGAGGGCCTGTCGGGGGAGCGGCGGAGAACGGCGGAGGCGGCGCGTGCTGCCCGTACTGCCCCGGCGCGGATCCGGGCGGAGGCGGAGTATGCTGCGCGTATTGCCCTGGGGTGGACCCGGGCGGACCACCGTATTGCCCCGGGATGGTAGGCGGAGGGCTGCCCATAGCTAGCGCGCTCATCTGCTGGGTTGGCGGAGCGGATTGCGTGGCGGCTCCCCCCCATGACGGCGGCGCAGCGCCAGGCGGAGGGTGAGGCGCTCCGAAGGGCGGGGGAGGGCCTCCGGGCGCGTTAAGGGGCGCGCCTGGCTGCGCCGGCTGCGGCGGAGCGCCGTACGATGGCGGACCATACGGCGCGGGTCCGGTAGGCGGAGGGCGGGATTGCGCCGGCGGCGGGGGGGCCTGCTGCGGGGGGTAGCCAGGGTACTGCTGCGGCGCACCGGGGTATCCGGAAGGGGGACCGCTGGGGCGGGGCGCGCCAGGGGGAGCGGCGCCTGGCGGAGCGGAACCCGGCGGAGGACCGCCAGGGCGCGGTCCACCCCCCGGGGGGCCCGCGAAGGGGCCAGGCGGACGGGCTGCTCCTCCTGGCGGGCCACCCGCGGGAGGCCCTTGGAAACCCGCAGGCGGACCCGGAAATCCAGCTGGCGGGCCCCGCGCGCCGGGCGGCGCAACCCCCGGGGGAGGCGGACCTGCGGGCCGTGAACCCGGCGGAGGGCCGGCGAACGGTCCCCCAGGGAACGGAGGTCCGGCGGGCCTTGCGCCAGGCGGCTGCGCGGATCCCGGCGCACCAGGCGGAACTTGGCCCAGACTAGGGGGTCCGCGCGGAAATCCGGGTTGCTGCGGGGGGTGCTGGCCCGGGGGGAAACCTGGTCGTGCTGGCGGAGCGGTTCCCGGAGGCGGGCCGTACGGGGGAGCGGCGCCGGGTGGAGAGGGGCGCCAGCCCGGGGGAGGATTCTGAGGCCTCATGGCTGGCGGATGCTACAGTGTAATGGAACCGGTTGGTGTTACAATCTGATGCTACAATCTGATTCCACTAATTGATCTTACAAATAGCGACCAGAGATTTGCGAGCCAGAAACGGGAAATAAAGATTTCAATGTTCAAAAGTAACTCGAGATCGGAGAAGCTGGAGAATCTACTAGCGTGATTGGAATAGATCCCTAACTCCACCGATCGATAGTTGTGCGAAAGGATCTGCTAGTATGACCAATGAGCCAAAATTGCCGCGAGGAAGGAAGCAGTGTCAGAAGTTCTGGAAGATTGTGTGGTGGAAGGTGGGAAGATTTTGAAATCATGTACCACTGGTACGGTACGTTGCGGTTCGATGTGGTAGATATCAGTTCCTGTGAATGACTGGAAGACAGTTGCTACAATACTGAAACGGATCTCCAAACCAAACCAATCTGACCCCACCAGCAAACCTAGAACATGCCGCGGCTGGCTGGGGGGCTCCGCGAGGTGTGATCCGCTGTGCGAAGTGTAACAGTGGCCTAATTACGAAACGACCCTCTTCGTCGAAACCTTCAGGCGCACACGATTCCACAAAAGATCTCTCCACGGGTATTGTTATGAGTTGTAAAAGAGAGTGCGCAGGTAAACGATTAACGAGACAATGATTAACTGATCTTAGAATACAATGAAGGCACAGACTAATGTAGGGACTAGCCTAGCTAGGAGGGAACCTCAGACGAGCGAGGTTGGGAGCAGGTTTGGCGACTGGGAAATGCCGAAGGCGACGCGATGAGCCTCGACAGCGTTGAAATCGGCTGACCGTGCGAAGTCCGAAAATCGGGCTGTACGCGAAGTAGTCAACCCCGATAAGGAATTCGGGAAAATTCCTTACACTACCCCCCCCCCTTAAGAAAGGCGGTCAATGTCTGAAACACGCTTGCGCGCCAAGAAATCACCAACAAGTGACGGGGCGTTTAGCGAGGCGGAGTGCACAGACGTGTCGTCTTCACTAGTGCGATCAGTCCAACGGACTAGGAAATCCACGTGGCGGCCAGCTGCGTCAAGTCGGACCCGATGTGCCAAAATCTTCGAAGGGTCAAGAGTCGGCTCCGGAACAGGTCGTGCAGTTGGGGCAGCTTGTTGCCGTGCGATGTCGGTCGTGGCTGGCACGAATTTGCGAAGCAGACTGACGTGGAAGGCGTCATGAATGCGCCAGTCGTCGGGTAGCAACAGCTTCGCGGTGTACAGGTGTCACCATCTTGATGATCTTGAATGGCTCACAAAATCGTGGCCGTAGTTTCGACGGGCCGAGCAGGTGCAGGTTCTTCGTGTCAAGTAGCACTAGTTGCCCAGTGGTAAAGACGAGTTCCCGGCGTAGAAGGTCGGTGTATTTGCGGGAAGTGATATTCGCCTTGCGAATTGCGTCTGCGGCTTTTTCTCAGACTTCCTGAAGCTCCGTCACAAAAGTTTGTGACCTCGGGACCGGGTTGTCGAGGGTAGTTGCCGTAGGAAATGTCGGGTCCATCCCGTAATTCAGGAAAAGCGGGGAGTGATTAGTCGTGCTGGACGGGGCGTTGTTGAAAGCGAACTCCAACATGGCGAGCGATTCTTCCCAGCGGGCAGGGTCGGGGCAGCTTGTCCGGATCAGCTGCTCCATGGTCTGATTGGTCCGCTCAGTCTGGCCGTCCGTTTGTGGGTGGTATGCCGATGAGAACTGTAGCTTCGTGCCGTACTGCGCCCATGTCTCTTTCCAAATCTTCGATGTGAATTTCGGGTCGCGGTCGCTGATGATCGCCGAAGGAATTCCGTGCAGTCGCACGACCGTTGAGATGAAGAGGCGCGCAGTTTCTTCGGCTGTGATGGTTGTTCGGCATGGGGCGAAATGTGCCATCTTCGTGAAGCGATCGACGACGACGAGTACAGCATCGTTGCCACGGTCCAGCTGGCATCCCCGGGATAAAATCCATTGTCACTTGCTGCCACGGTCGTTCGGGTGGCTCGAGGGGTTGCAGCAGCCCAGCTGGTCGTTGACGTGTTGATTTCATGGCTTGGCACACCCTGCATGAGGACACATATCGCTGCACGTCGTTAGAGGAGTCAGGCCAGTAATATTGACGGTGCTGTAACTTTTGGGTTTCGTCAACCCCGAAGTGTCCGGAGAAGTTGGAATCGTGGACCTCTTGGATAAAGAGTTCACGTAGCAGCCTGTAAGCGGGAACCCAAATCCGGTCGGTTACGGCTTTTAGGTAATACTCCCCCTTATGCGTCGTGGCCTGCTGATGATTTCCAATCGTGAAGAACGGGTCCGTAGTGTAGCCGTGGGTGAATAGTCCGGCAAGTAACGTGTTCGAGTGGGTGATCAGTACTGCAGCGGATTGTACTGTCGGTCGGGTTAGGGCGTCGGCGATGTTATTTGCCCCCTTCTTGTACGTGATGCGGTAGGTGAAGTGGCTCTCCATGTAGTCCAGCCACCGAATTTGTCGCGGGTTGAGGTTGGGCTAGGCTTGCAGGTACTGTAGGGACTTGTGGTCAGTGCGAACAGTAACGTCGGCACCCACCAAGTAGCAGCGCCATAGTTTGAACGCGTGTATTATGGCGAGCATCTCCTTGTCGTGGATCGGGTAGTTGCGTTCGGCTGCTTGCAGCTTGCGTGATTCGTAGGCGATCGGCTGCAGCCCGTTCCCGAAATCTTGGAGTAGCACAGCTCCGATGGCGAAATCAGAGGTGTCGGTTACGACTTCGAATGGCTTCGATGGGTCGGCGATGCGCAGCACAGGAGGGGAAACGAGAAAATTCTTGAGTTCCTGAAAAGCCGCTTCTGCCTCCTCCCCCCACACAAAATTTATGTCCTTGTGCAGCATGTCGGTCAGCGGCCAGTTATCCCCGCCATATTCGGGATGAACCACCTGACGTAATTCACGAACCCCAGAAAACTCTGCAGTTCCGTGACATTCGTCGGGGACTTCCACTCTTGTATGGTCTTGATTTTCGCCGGGTAGATTTTGATGCCGTCGCGTGAGATGACGTGCCCCAAAAACTCCAACTCCTGCTAAAAAAACTCGCACTTAGAGCCCTTGGTGATGAGTCGGTTCTCATGCAGCCGCTTAAACACTGCATCCAGGTCGCGGAGGTGTTGTTCCCTTGTCTTGCTAAACATCAGGATATCGTCCAAGTAGACGATGACGCATCGGTCTACAGTAGAAGATCCCGAAAAACCCTGTTCATGGTGAGTTGAAATGTCGAAGGCGCGTTCGTGAGGCCGAAAGGCATCACTGTAAATTCGTAACTCCCGTAGCGTGTGCGAAACGCAGTCTTGTGACAGTCGTCGGCGAAGACTCGAATCTGGTGGTAACCGCCACGTAAGTCAATCTTCGAGAAATAGCGAGCGCCGCGAAGTTGGTCGAGGAGCTCGTCGATCCGTGGGATTGGATAGCGAGACTTGATGGTGACCCGGTTCAGCGCGCGATAGTCGATGCACATGCGAAGCCCGCCGTCTTTCTTCGGAGTGAACAGGATCGGTGCTGCGAAGGGAGATGTGCTGGCCCGAATGAACCCTTTCTCCAACAGTGCGTCAATTTGACTTCGCAGCTCCTCGAGTTCCGGCTGGGTCAACCGCCACTATGTCCGAACAGTCGGCTGCGCTCCAGGTTCCAGCTGGATTTTGTGGTCCTCAGGTCTCTCGGGTGGCATTCCAGGTGGCAGGTCGTCGGGGAAAATGTCGGGGTACCTCCGAATCAGCTCCGCAAAATCCGGTGATACAGCTGCACACAGCCTCTCGATATCCTTTCCGTCGGTGTCAACTGCCAACTCGCGTAAGCAGACAGCGAATAGCTGCACGCTCCTGTTGAAGTGGCGAGCTATAGTGACAGCTTTGACGCACGGGGCTTGGATGTAGTCAGGTGTCCATGCAGGCAGTTCAATTAGCCCCTCGTGCCTGTTGATTCTGCACGATTCCGTTGTCCAGTCGATGACGGGGTTGTGCCGTTGCAGCCAATCACGTCCCAGCAGCACGTCGAAGCCATCCAATGCCGTCGCGAGGAACTTCATGCTAAAGCCGAAATTGTCGCCGCATTCGATCCTGACCGTCCGTGTTTCTTCCGTTATCGCCAGAGGCGTCCCATCCACGAGGCGGGCGTAAATTTCGGGCAGACACCTGTCAAGTTGCAGCTTGCATTTTTTTGCGCTCGCCAGGTTGAAGAGGCTATGACTGGCCCCTCCATCGACGAACATTTCCAAGTTATTTTTTAACACCTTGCCAGCGACCAGCACAGGGTGATCCACATGACTATTCCCGTTATTCGGCCAAGTGCGATCGATTGCATGAACCACTACTCGGTGGGGATGGTGGGGTTCGGGCGACGGAGCACAGTCAGTAAAGGGCCCGCTAATTACTGACTCTTCCCATTTCCCTGCTCCTTCCTGTCGTTCCCTGTCAGCGGCGTTTTCATGTAGTGACCCGTCTTCCCACACCGGTAACATGGTCTCTTAGGAGGGCGGTCGGGTGTATGGACGGCGTTGATCGTGGCCCGATGGGTCTGGCCACGAAAGCGGTTTCCATCCCTGGAAGCTGCTCTCGCGTACTGCATCAGCACATCTGTTGACTCCGCCAGCCGTACTGCTTCAAGGAATGATGTCGGGCGGCCCCTACGAAACTCGTACTGTATCTCGTATTTGAGGCCGCTGATATATTTATCTAACCGGTCTGCTTCCGACATGTCATCAACTTGGTCGGCGAAGCCCATAAATGACGCCATGTAGTCTTGGACAGAAGCCATCTGCGACCATGCACGCAGCTTCATGCGAGCTTGCTCCGAGGCGGATACGTGCTCGAAGCGATCTCGTAAGGCTACGCCCCACTCCTTCTACGTACGTATCATGGTCACTCCGAAGATTGATTGTGCCACTTGATTAGTCACTGTTGAGGTCCCGTCTGCCGCATGCGTCACACTTGTCGGCGTCCCCGTTTCCAAGGTTCAGCGCCACCATTCAAGCGCTGCACCTCGAAGAAGCGAAAC